AGGACAGCGCCGAGGCCTACACCGCTGGCGTCTGTGTGCACCTCCGTCGGGGCCGTAGGGTCGTAATGGCGTAGAATGGGAGGAGACGTCAACACATGGCGGAGCTTCGCGAACGCGTCGTCGCACTCAGACGACCACGAATTGAGGGACCCGTTACTTCCAAGGAGCTTTGTCAGCGGTGATATGATTGTGGCAAAGTTTCGTATGAAGCGTCGGAAGTACGAGCACAGGCCCATGAAACTACGCAGTTCTTTGATGGACGCAGGTTTGGGGAATTCGGCCACGGCCCGAAGCTTGGCTGGGTCAGAAAGAATGCCATCCTTGGACACGGCGTACCCAAGGATGGTGAGTTGTCGTGCTGCAAAGCGGCACTTCTTCAGATTTGGTTGCAAGCCGGCATTGCTGACACGTGCAAAAACTTCTTTCAGACGTTGGAGGTGCGTAGAGAAATCTGGAGCGAACACAACAACGTCATCGAGGTAACACAAGCACGTGTGCCATTTCAAGTTGCGCAGAACGGTGTCCATCATGCCCTCAAAGGTCGCAGGTGCATTACATAGACCAAACGGCATGACGTTGAATTCGTACAAGCCGTCGGGTGTGATGAACGCAGTCTTCGGTCGAGCGTCATCAGCCATGGGTACTTGCCAGTACCCCGAGCGCCGATCGAGAGAAGAAAAAAATTCGGCTCCGTGAAGGCTGTCAATTGCGTCATCGATGCGCGGCATTGGGTAAACATCCTTGCGAGTGATCTTATTGAGCCGTCTGTAGTCTACACAGAACCGCGCAGAACCATCTTTCTTCGCAACAAGAACAACAGGAGACGCCCATGGACTGTCCGAGGGCCGAATGACGTCGCGTCTGAGCATATCATCAACCTGCTCGTTAATTTCCCGACGTTCAGCAGGCAACACGCGGTAGGGACGTTGCCGTAATGATGGATGGGCACCAGTGTCGATACGATGCGTAACAGCGGACGCACGACCGAGAGAACTTCGCCCGACATCGAAAGAAGAACGATATTTTCGCAACAGGTTCAGAAGCTGGGAACGCTGTACCGACGTGAGGTTGTCATCAATGTAAGGGCCAAATACATCAGGAGATGATGAATAAGAAGTGGAAACAGCACTGACGGTACGCAAATTGGGACAACGCGAGTCATCAGGTACGTCCAGGACTTGTGCGTTATCCACTGGTTCCACTCTGCCGAGACATTCCCCTCGAACCAAGGTAATAGTGTACGGGGATGGGTTGGTCACAAAAATAGAGGCGTTGCCCTGGGTGATTTGCACGGTCGCGGAAGGTACTAGCAACCCTTTCCTTCGGCAAGCACGGTCGGATGGCGAAACGAGTGCAATTGTGTCGGAGAGTCCAGCGCAGTAGACAGATACACCCATCGTGGAGCTTGGAGGCACTATGGTATCGTCTTTCACGAGAATCTTGCTCACTTTCGAAGAACTGTCTTCCGGCGTCAAATGCGAGAAGGGGGAGAGTTTAATTTCGGCGGCGGCACAATGGATGACGGCGTCGTTGCGGGAGAGAAAATCCCACCCCAGGATGACGTCATGAGAGCATGCGGGAATGATGATGAATTGGGCGACATACAGAACGTCCTGAACGACAACGCGAGCTGTGCACCGTGCTGTAGGATGGATACGATGCAAACCGGCGGTACGAAGGGACAATCCAGAAATTGGCGTCGTCACTTTACGAAGCAAGCGGCAAAATTTTTCGTCCATAACGGATACTGCAGCTCCTGTGTCAATAAGAGCAGATGCGTGAACACCGTCCACAGGCACGTCAATGACATTAGATGGGCGGCTCTGAGGGCTTTCACAATGCGATAGCATCGCAGTCCTTGCCTCGGGGACTGCGACGACTAGTTTTCCCGCTCGTGAGCAGCTGAACTTGGCCGCATGGGGGACGGGGAACGACGTCGTGGGGACGGTGACCTACGAGAAGATGAAGCTAGGCGAGTTGGCGGTGGCATAGACGGCGTTTCCTCGTGATAGGTACGCCTGATCTGGCCAGCAACAGGCGACGAGATATGGGGCGTCTGTACGCGAGTGTAATAATGTGCTACGTGGCCGGCGTAACCGCAGGCAAAGCAAATGGGTCGGTTGTCGGGTGTGCGCCATCGGTTCGCTGGGGTAGGTCTTGTCCATGACGCAAGAGCCGATGGACGGAACGGTGGCTGGAAAGGCTGCAGGGGGTGCTGGAGCTGAGTCTGAGAGGTCACGTCAACATACGTAGCCGGCATACCCGCTGCAAATGATGGAGGTCGTGCGGCAGCTTCGGCGTAAGTCAGTGGGGCGGGCGCTTGAACGACTGGAGGCGGCCTGGCGACCACTTGGGCGTAACTTGGGGGTACAGGAGCCGGAAGCTGTTGTGGGTGGTACGCAGGCATGACCTCCGCTATTTCCTGCTCAATCGCTCGGCGGATGGGGGGGGGGAATGGTAGTGGCCGATTGTTGAGCAGCCGGTGGGTGGGCGAAGGGCAGGAGAGAGAACTGCCGTGCGATTTCCTCACGTATGAAGGACTTGAGGTCTGCCAGCAGTGCCACCTGGTCACAGCTCGCCTCCAAGCCTGCAAGCCCTGCATCTCGTGGTGTGGAGCGACGGGTCATCGAACGCTGCCGGCGGAGCTCCTCGTAGCTCTGGCACAGCGTGATGACCTCAGCTACTGTGCCTGGGATTTTGGCAAGCAGCATCGTGAAGGCATCATCGGCAATGCCCTTCATGACGTTCCGGATCTTGTCTGATTCGGACATGCTGTCGTTGGATTTCTTGCATAGGTCCAGGACGTCTTCAATGTAGCTGGTGAATGATTCACCGGCCTGCTGAGCGCGTTTGCGTAAGCGCTGTTCGGCTTGCAGCTTATGAACGGCAGGGCGGCCCAAAACGTTGGTGATAGCGGTCTTAAAATCGGACCAGGTTGCGAAATCAGACGCGTGGTTGTTATACCACATGCCGGCCACACCCACGAGGTAGAAAACCAGGTTGCCGAGTTTACCTGCCTCGTCCCAATGATTGGGGACGCTGACGCGTTCGTACATGGCGAGCCAGTCCTCGACGTCGGTGCCAACCGCGCCGGTGAAGACAGGTGGGTCGCGGATGCGGGGGACACCGGAACATGGCGTCGGCGCAGGAGGAAGCGTTTGCTGGGCGGCGTCTTGTTGCATGGTTGAAGGCACGGTACGGGATCTAAGCTCCAAGGGCATCGAATGTGAACCGAAGATGTTTGAAGGGCACAGCACTCTCCACCAAAATGTTAAGGCGTTTATTAGCCGGCCCACAGCGAGCAAGCACAATGGCGACAGTAACGGCCAAGCACGGGCTCTCAGCGCGAGTGGCGTCTTTGTTGGGTAGCCCCACTAGAAGGTACTCAAGAGTTCGACCCATTTCATAGTTCGGAGGCTTCGCTACAATATATATATACATATATATATATATATATATATATATATATATATATATATATATATATATATATATATATGTATATATATATATATACATATATATATATATGTATATATATATATATATATATATATACTGCAACGAGCAAGGTTCACTATGCTTCGGTACAATATATACATATATATATAGACCTTGAGACTTACACAGATTGTTCAGCTGCTCAAATTGACGACGACCCAGCGAGCAATGGAAAGAAAAAAGGTATGTGTAACCTTAAGAGACAAGATGAGAGCAGAGTGGCTTAGAAAAGAAACAGGCGTTAAGGATATCATAGCCGAAATCAAGAAGAAGAAATGGACGTGGGCCGGGCATGTAGCACGTAGACAGTATGACCACTGGTAGTTAAGGGTAACTAACTAGATGCCCAGAGAAGGCAAGCGGGTTAGGAGGAGACAGAAGGTTAGGTGGGCAGATGAGATTAAGGAGTTTGCGGGTATAAATTGGCAGCAGCAAGAACAGGCGCAGTTTAACTGGCGGAACATGAAAGAGGCCTTTGTTCTGCAGTGGATGTAGTCAGGCTGATGATGATGATGATGATGATGATGATATATATATGTATACCCAAAGTGGACGACGGGCAAAACAAAAACTTTTTGTTTTTCCTGCGTTTCAGCCGGGGACCGGCCTTCATCAGGGAAAACACGATACCAAAATGCGCTTTTCTTAAGTAGGAATGGTGTATCAAGGGCCCCTGACACATGAACCATCACTATCATGCACTATCTACTGTGACGTGGCGAGTAATGATCAGTGAGCAGAGAATGTCAAAGCAATGTCAAAGAAAGATTATGAGAATGCATGAACGGTGTTTCATCAAGTAGATCACAATAGCAGGTTGAGAAGTACGGTAATATCTACAAACAAAAATTAAGCTATCAAACCCATACAGCAAAACACATGCACAAAAAAGACAAAATAGTATAGCAGAAATTGTTCGAATGGAGCAAGATGCGTTACTAAAAATTTCATGGGGCACAAACAGAATCGATAACACAAAGTCAAAAAATGCAGTGCACCGAAGAGGTGTACTGAATATCTAAAAGTATGGGTTCGATATCCCTATTTTTTTGTTCTTAGATATTACTGTACTTTTGAAACTGCTATTTATGATATATACTTGATGTAGACACCGTTCATGCATTCACGTAATCATTCTTTAACATTGCTTTGACATTTTCTGCACCCCCTTTATTAATGGCCACGTCACAGTAGATAGTGCTTGATGGTGATGGTTCACGTGTCAGGGGCCCTTGATACACCATGCCTACTTAAGAAAAGGGCATTTTTGAATCGTGTTTTCCCTGATGAAGGCCGGTCCCCAGCTGAAACGTTGAAAAAAAAAGTTTTCGTTTTGCCCGTCCTCCAGTTTTTGGTATTTTTCTACTGCATACAAGGACACCTTCTTTCTTATATATATATATATATATATATATATATATATATATATATATATATATATATATATATATATATATATATATATATATATGAATATTTTTTGAGACCGCTAGGGTGGGATGAATAACAACGGTGACAGAATTGCCAGAAGGCCCATTGAAGCCATACTGGTAAGTTAGAATAGATAATCACCAGATTTTGATGCAGTGTCTCCCCACTTAGACCTATATTTACTCAGGGCAGGTATGACAACATCGCTCCTCTGGCAAATCTACGAAGAAGAAGAAACTATTGCTCATTACTTTCTGTCATGTCGCAGATATTCGAATATTAGAGCTTATCTCATTACACTACTTTCAGTAATAGGCGTAACTCTTCCGGTAAATTTATATTAGGCTTTAGCGCCTCATCTTTGAGATATGTCACCTTTGACGCTATTTTTAATTTCATTTACTCTGCTTAACGGGTGTCACTTTAGTGTTGTCTTCAAAAAAAATTGACCCTATTGCAATGCGGCGAATTCTATTTAATGTCCTTAAAATTGTTCTGATCACTTAATTATGGCAGCCTGAAGTATGAGCTAAAATCACACTACTTGTAGTGTAAGATAATGTATTACGTATCATTGCATGATTTTTGTTTTTTGAACCTCCTAACAATTTTTTATTATCTTTAAAATTTTCAACAAGTCATTTTCGGCCATTCGCCAGACTTCGTACGTGCCATTGTTGTGAAGAAAAACAAACAAGCAAACGTTTGGGCTCATACAGTCGCTAAAGAACGTCAGCCTGAGCTCCTTACATCGTGTCGGCAGTTTTATCTGCCACATGCTTTATGCGTGCTAGCACCGGCGAGCCACGCTAATCTGTTTTTGTCGTGAATACGTCAACCACAAACAGCTTCGTGGTTACGGTGTGGATGAACCTCAACATATTTACTAAAAACTCCTACTTGTGATTGTGATCATAAAATAGTAATGCCAAAATTCAAGATATAAATTTAGCGCAGTAGTAACGAAGCGTAAGTGGCACTCTGTTAGTAAAGCCAGTGCTCTCCAAGGCTCCGATGGCTATTGGAACCTTATAAACGCCTGTTCAATGCTCAGGGGATCGTGGAGTGATATATAATTTCTAGTGCAGTCGCTGATCCCCTCAATCATGCTGAACATTTCAGCCTCGTTGAGCTTCAGCAGGAATTTCGGAAGTCTCAATGTTAGAAAACGCAACTGGATCACACGTAGGAAGTTCAATACCACGTTGACACATGTCTGCACCAGTCAATGTGCCAAAAAGTCATACCTTGTCTGTGCAGAAGTGACCATTTTATTGACTGCCAAGTCAAACTCATGCAGTGCAGGACAGTTATTCGACCATCTCACTCCCAGTGGGCGTCACCTGTCGTCGCGTAACTACCGACCTTTGAATATAGTGAAGCGCAAGGACGCCTACCCTTTGCCAGCGTGTTGATGACGCCTTCGACCTTTGTCAAAAAGCAAGATACTTCTCTGTAGACGTCTTGTCTTACAATTTCCAGGCTGTATGACTAAACCGTAGAGCCAGAAAACTACATATATCACACCGGAGGGCCTATCCAAGTTAAAAGTGATGCTCTTTGTATTTAGTTTTAAACCTAGCCTCTTTGAATGAGACGCTCATGTGTGCCTGCGTGCATAGCTCACACTGATGATGTTGATGCTCACGCCTGATTTCTCTTTATACCTGCTCCCTCTAGAACATGTTATGCCGTGTATAAGCAACTTTTCTATAAGGCACCTATTCTAAAAAATGCCCATTCACCGAAAGAGCGTTCATCATCTTAGGCCTCATAGACTATAATTACGGCATTTCACCGGAAGCTGCAAAACTTCACGCTGTCTCAGAAAAAACGCGGCAGTGTTGTGAGGCAATGTTTCGATTTACGGTGCTTTGTTCTCAGTTTTGCAACTTTATGCCACCATTACCCCAGCTTTAATGCGATGTCTTGGACCTCTTATCCTGGTCTTCTACAAGCGACGCCGCCTTCAATGTGCCACCCGGGCTTCACCACATACGACCGCTCGATACGATAGCTTTTGCCAAAGTACACACAGAGGCCAGTGGAGTCGGGTTTGTCGCTATCTTCGCTCAACGTCATCATTTCAGCAAGCCAACACTAATTTCCGCATGACCGAAACAGAGTGTTTGCTTCTACTGTAGGTTTTGTAATGCCCAGTGTGCGTTCTTGAACAGCCGGCCATAGGGCTGGCTTCTTGAAAAGATAACCAAGCGCTTGTTGGCTCGCGAAATGGAAAGACTCATCTGTCAACCTTGCGTGACGGATACTCCACATCATGAAGTACGGTATTTATACCATCTACCGCGGCGGACGGAAGCACTTTGACGCAGAAAGCCTCTCGTGTAACGTGTCCTTTAAATTTGGTGTGCTTAACCTACAGTGCCTACTGTTTTGTGCTGTTTAGTGGAATCGTCGAAGTGTCTGGAAGTCCAGAGTGGTCAGCGCCTTCAATTTTTTACATTTAACAAGGAAAAGTTTAGCTCACATACAGAAGCGAATACCGACCAGCGTTCACCACGAGTGATGCATTCGTGCCAAAGCGCCAGTGCAATATCTCGTGATTTGTGTGCCTTCTGATGCACACAATTCTGAGTGTCGTAGTAAGAGCTCTTTATTATTTTTTTTGCTCAGGTGCAGCGTGAAATCGACGAAGTGATCGGCCGAGAGCGGCAACCCGCGTGGGAAGACCGACTCCGTATGCCTTTCACCATGGCTTGCATATGGGAGATGGATCGTTGGAAGACAAGCACACCGCTAGGCGTACCAAGGGAGTGAGTGTCTAAAATGGCTCGATAGTGCTCACGTAGTTTAAAAGACACTGAAAGATATTAAGAAGTTAGATTTCACTGAGAGTTATTTTACGAAAGTGGGAAGAGAACTTTTTTTGGCAATATTTTACGCTCTCCTTGGCTATGATTACGCAAAATAGACTTCGGAGATTAAGTGATAAATTAGGTCTACGCTTAGTGTATATTTTCGATTGCCTGTTCTAGTAAAGGGAGTAGATTGTATGATGTGTGAGTGTTATACTGCCTCACTATATATTTATTTCATTTCATATGCCGGAAGCACCGTGATAGGCTAGAAAGGGCCACAATAAGAAATAATAAACCAATCTTAGAGCAGTTCATGACTGTTGGTTTAGCGATTTTGCTGGACTCATTTTTGAGATTGAATGAGCCTCAGTTCCATTTTAAAGCAAGATAATAATAATAATTTCATTACTACACTTCAATGACAGTAACAGACGTGTAGGTTATTTCACCCGAAAATCTTGCTCGAGCTCCATTACGTTCGCCTAAGAATGTGTACACACTACGACGCTTCATCATCTGCATTATCTTTGAATCTGCTGTTGTCCCTAATGATGAATGAACGTGAAGTACATGTGGCGACGTGAAAGTAACTGAATGAAAACACATATAAGTCGGTGCTTTTATTTTGCGAATATCCATCCCGTTGTTTAGATATAACCAGGTCTCGACCATTCTAAGTCTCAGCAGTGCGAGTGCCGCGCTATACACGCCGGGTTATCCTCACTCTCATACCATCACACTTTTTCGTAACTGGCATTACCGTAAGCTCGCTCGTTTAACCCAGTGTTAAGGCACACATACTGCATATTACGCAAAGATGAATGGAGGGATATATCGGCAAATCCACTGAATGTGTCTCCTAAGAATACTAGTAATTAACATACGCTCGCTGTTATCTAACATGGATGTGTAATTCGTGAGCGCTAGGCAGAAACGCAAGCAAACCACGTGTGCGCTTATCGATCAGAAGCTTGTGCTTCAAAAGCGAAAATATATTTTTCGCAAAGATTATGCAACAGCCATTAAAATGAAATGCCGTGGTTTCTCATGGTTGTTCAGGGCACGTAATTTTAGTACAGTTGAAAAAGAGAAAATAAATACAGGACATGCCAAACTCATAATCCAGGTGCTCAATATATATAGATATCCTGTCAGATTCGTTGAACAAAGGAAAAAAAGGACCATAACACGTTTAAATATGCATTCCGATGGAACCCAAAGGACACTTTTCCATTTGCACACTTTCATGCACGCTGATAAAACGCGGTAAATATACACGAAAGACGGTCAGATACCTTTTTTTTTTCCTGTCATAACTGCTTACACTCAAACCAAATAACAATAGTCATCAATCTAAAATACTTGCAGTGCCCTAGAGCTAATACATTCTGTGTTCTTTGGTCTCTTCTTAGAATGAGCCTAGGGGTCTACCCGAAAAATAACTTACAAACTCATATTCTCACCGCTCATTAGATGAAAGGAAATAAACTTACATACGATAATGCCGAACGGATAAAACCTTCGCGATGAAGCCATTTTGAGAACGTACGAACGCAATGCATTTCACTGACTGTTCTCTTTTGAACTACTTCGATTGCACTACTTATACTAATTGCAGAGCCTCTGCAGACACTATCGTCGATGAATTCTTCATTCCTAAAGGCACTGTGATCACGGCAAACTTCTGGGCTGCACACTACGACCCAAAGTTCTGGAACGACCCTGAGAAGTTCGACCCGACTCGTTTCTTGAACGAGGACCGAACCCTTATGGCACGCAAGCCAGAATTCCTCATTCCATTTTCCTACGGTAAGGAACTTTGAATTCACAACTATCTTTTCTCTTTGCTGTAAACAGCTAAATCTCAATTGAAGTAGTATAGGTCATCAATTACGCCATATGTACGCCTCGGTGGAGCAGTGGTAATGGTACTCGGATTCCCAACTAAAAGCTGCAAGTTAAATCCTTGCCGTGGCAATCACATTTCGATGCAGATGAAAGGCTTCACACCGCGGTACGTTAAGGTCAAGGTCAGTGCACGTTATATATTAACACATAGTCCAAAGTACCAGAGCCCTCGACTATGGGATATCTCATATTGGTATATTGGTGTTGAGGCGTTAACCACCAGGTATCACACTCTGTCATACAAGGTGCACTTTCTCAGCACCACCAAGGCTAGAAGAGACGAACCACCTATTATACGCTTACATGGTTTTGAAGGCGATGCAAGTAGAACTCGAGCAGCTAACTATAAAACACGATGGCTCCAAAATTTGCCCCCAGAAAGGAGACAACTTATACACAGCATAACTGTAACGATTGCCTGAAGGACAATTGCCTGTCGCAGTATAATCAGTGGTTTCCAGATATATCGGTGGAACCTGCGATGAATGGTGTTAAGAGTTTTCGCGAATGCAACCTAATCACATCAAAATGCTGGGAAGGTGCTTGGAACCCTGCCTCTCAAAACACTTATTCTGTTTTTTTTGGTTGCGATAGTTGTAGCTGAGGAGCATACTTTGGAAGAGAAGGTATTTTTGTAACACAACCATCGCAGGTCAGTCAATAGAACCTTCGCTTAGAAATTTCCATGAGCAAGACTAGCTGCTTAAGTGTTTGCTTGGGCGCCTAGGTATGACATACTTGTCAGACCCCGAATTGACGTAAGGGTGCATCCGCACATGAAAACATTACAATAATTTATTCAACTACACTAGCAGCATTGGGAGAGCATTCTTACGCTATGCTCAACAGAGGTAGTGAAACAAAACGATGTGCTTCTAAGCTTGGCGGCCAGGTGTTGTAGACACCGCTAGTGACTTGAGCCTTGGGTGACGCTGCGGTGGTGCTGCGGCTCATCTGATTGCAGTGCAGCGTGTGATCTTGTACGCCGGGCCGTCTCAAAGTAAGGTGGAGTCTGTGCAGAATCGTGCGTAAATTGTGTCGTCAGGAAATTTACATGAAAACAGCGCAAAAACATAGAATTCCAGTGAAAGAAGACAAGAGACGGCAGCGTTGGCTGGCGACCGAATTTATATTACGAGGCCACGACAGCGTGCAGGGGTGCAGGCAATGGGCATTATTCGCTCAATCATTCATGTTTCTTGCTGTAGTCTGTTTCATACACTCGTTACAGCCGTGTGGAAGGAAGACCTAGCCAAGGGTGCAGTGAACACTCCTCAACATATACTGATCCAGCCGAGTCATCTACTAAAGCATTGGCTACTCTAAAAAACTCACGGCTGCTGCCTAGCCGCATCAGAAGGGGAAAAAATTCTGGCTGTGAGAAACGCAAAGCAGAGTCACAACAAAAGCTGGAAGAGCAGTCTTTTTTGATATTGTCGTAGGCTCTTTGGGCAGTAAAACCACACATGCTCATACAAGTAAACAAGCATTCACTGTGCCATGGATATTCGTAATTTTTATGAAATACAAGACACTCAATATGTCATTTATACTCTTTTTGTGGAGAACCGTGGAGTGCGCAATGTATTTGTGAGGCGTTATGCCCATTGGGCTGACACCGCGCTTTGTGACGAAGACTTAATATAGGATGGCGTCCTTTGCACGGAGTTGGAATTATTCAACGAGTCACTGGTTCTGCAGCTCACGATGCGTTGCGCGTTGTTGTAATTTGACTCTTCTACCACGTTATATTACATATGTTAGATGATGTTGATGATGTGTGGTGCTTTACGGCGCAAGGGCCAATTGATCGCTGAACAGCGCAATTTCAGTGACTAGAGATGTGGACAGTGATATGATGCGTGGTGGTAGAGGGGCCTTAAAATTCCTCGCGCTGACGCGGGTATAACATAACTATTAAAATCATAGCAGTGGCACCATATATATCGTAAACATGGGTGATAAAAAGTTTTAATAATAAAAGCGTATGTAAAAATATTTGGCACTATCACAAATGCCTCATCAGCGCCCTTGTGTCCAAGGGCCTTGAGGCAAGTGCTTTTCAATGTAGCCGCCGCAGCAGCAACCTCTCTTGAGAGGTCACGCTACGCATTGCCTCGGTATATTATATGGCAGAAGTGAACATCTCTTAAAAATGCTACCAACGATTTATGAGTGAAAAATGGATCCCTCCCGACGAACATTGCAGGATGTAATGGTATATGTTGTCGGTAGGGTAATGGAAAGTGTTGTCTTCCTAGAGTATCTAATTGTTCACACAGGATTTAAATGTAAAGAACTTTTAGTGCTTCACCACATCTGTCACACAATGGTGGATCACCACCGGACAAACGATATGAGTGTGTCGTGTATGTGCGTCCTACCCTGAGCCTCGTCAGTGTTACCTCTGCACGACGTGATTTTGATACCGGTGGCCAATCACCAAGGTGTGGCTTAATAACGTGTAGTTTTTTTGTGTGTGTCTAATCCACTCGCTCTGCCAGTAGTCCCTGACCTTTCCATTGAGAGACGGTTTAAGATCAAGGGCCGGGATTTATATGGGTGTAGTGGCAGTGCTTTCGTGAACGGATGCAGCAAGCTGATCCACCATCACGTTGTCTTGGAACTCACAGTGCCCTGGCACCCAGCACACTACAGCACAATGTTTGAGCGTGCAAAGTGTGTATAAAATAGCATAAAGTGAGATGAGTACGGGGTAATTTTTGTTTTTTGAGAGTTTGCAGAGCTATCAGCACACTGAGGGAGTCCGTAGAAGTGACTGCTTTTTTGTTATATGTGTTCAGCCGCCACAACTATCGCGTAAGCTTCCGCTGTGAAGATACGCGTGTCTGGATGTAGAGGGTCAGCACCCGAGAAGGATGGCCCGACATCAGCGTAGGACACAGAGGAGTTAGACTTAGAGACATCTGTAAAGGACTCAAGACGTGTGTATTTATTTGTGTGAAGTTCCAGGTAGTTGGTTCGAATATGGGCAATAGGCGCATGTTTTGTAACTTCTAGGAAAGACACATCGCAGTATATAGTCTGCCACTGCTACGGTGGCGGGTATTCTACAGAAGCCAATAAACTGTGTTCAAGTGACACACCAGTTTCCTCAGCTAGACCTTTCTGGCGCAATGATTAGGGCAGCCTCATCGAAGGCCTGTTTTGAAACAGGACGGAGCTCCTGATATCATTATTAGCGGAGTATGAAGAGTGCTTCTTGTCTGCTTTTACCTTAAGAAAAGATACAATGGACATGTAGGTTCTCTGCAGATGAAGCGACCATTCATTTTCCTCAACGTAAAGGCTTTATACGGGGCTGGTGCGAAAAGCACCCGTTAAAAGGCGGATGCCCAAATAGTGCACAGGGTCCAGCATCTTCAAAGCACTTGGGGTCGCAGACTGATAAGCAACGGCCTCATAATCTAAGCCGGTGCGAATGTGGCTTCTAAAAAATTCATGAGACATTGCCTGTCACTACCCCACATAGTACGTGACAACACATTTAGAATATTCAAGGTTTTACACATTTTGTTTTTAAGTACTTGATGTGCGGTATGAAGGTTAGTTTGTGGTCCAAGATTAGGCCAAGGAATTTCCGCTCGGCATTCAGACAGACGTTGACCATTCAGTTGAATGTCAGATTCTGAGTGCATGCATCTCGTTCGAGAGAACAAGACACACGTGCTTTTTTGTGGGTTCAGGCGGAATCAATTTTCTTCTGCCCGTTTTTAGACCTTGTTTAAACCTAGCTGAACCTGCCACTCACACATTGCCAGGTTGCATAACTTGAAGCTCAGCTGGACGTCATAGAAATATGTACAATAGGACATATTGTGGGGGATGGACAGGTGCAAGGAATTCATTTCGATAAAAAAAGTTTACAACTGTGTACACCACCTCGCGGTACTCCCGCTTCTTGAACAAATGTTTGGGAGAGAACACTTCCCACACGGACAAGGAATGTTCGATTGGACTCTCGATTATGAAAAGCATTCTACCACGCACACTAAGGTGAAGCAAGTCTCTTAATATGCCAAAACGCCGTGTTGTGTCGTAAACCTAATCGATATTGAGGAATACAAAGAGGAAGTATTGTTTGCGGATGAAAGCGTCTCAGATCTCTGCCTTGATGCGCACCAGATGGTCGGTAGTGAATCTACTTTGTCGAAACCCACACTGGAATCGGTCGAGCAGATTGTGTGTTTAAAGGAAATGTAAAAGGTGGCGGTTTATCATGTTTTAGAGTAGTTTAGAAAGGCAGCCTGTAAGTGCATTTGGCCTATAACTCGAAACTGATGAAGGGTTTTTGCCCTCTTTCAAAATGGGAATACTTATAGCCTCTTTCCAAAAAGTAGGGATAGCGCCAGAGAACCAGATAGCATTGTACAAGTGAAGTAGGGTTTCTTGCGTTTCAATTGGTAGGCTTTTCAACATTTCGTACACCACGCAATCATAACCTGGGGCGGAATGACTGCAGGGGTTTATTGATGTTTGGAGCTCAGCTAAGCTGAAAAATCGTTGCATGCTTTGTGTTTTGTACATTTGTGTTCAAGTTTCTGCTTTTCTATCTTTATTTGTACTTTTGGAAGGATTCACTATAGTGTCATGAGCTGGACACTATTTCGAAGTGTGCGCTGAGAAAGTTTGCTTCATTTTTCGAGCTGTTGTGCGTTTAAGATAGGGAGTAAATGTACTTGTCTTCCTGTTATTCTCCTAATCATGTTCTAGACTTTAGCCTCATGTGTATATGAATTGATGCCTCATACGAAGTTGTGCCAACTTTCCCTTCTGGTCTGTCGGTGCGCCCTTCTGCCTTGAACTTTATGTTTTCAAAATTTTTAAGACTCTCCGCTGTCGGAGAGTCTCGAAGCAGCTTCCATGCTTTATTTTTTTCT